AACCTGTTCACGCAGGATATCATTGATATGCCGCGCCTGGTGCGCGAGAGCCGGACGTTCTTGAGTGACAGTGAGCTCATGGAGCAGTTCAAGCGGATTCTCGGATGGGATGAACGAAGAGAGCGAGAGCGGCTCATGGATGCGGAAAGCGTCTGGACAAGACCGATGGCAGCATTGGATAGACCGAGTAGAGACCAGTTGAACTTGAGATACGGCAGCTACCGGAAGCTTCCTGCGAACGTACGTGCCTTGCTCATTACGTCCGTGCTGAAGCTAATGCCAACCCACGCAGGAGATCGGCGTTACTTGTTCGGGCAGGGATGAGATGTGCAAGTCCGTCCTGAATGACGACTGGATCGCCCAGCCAACATTTGCGAGCGAAGACGCGGGCTTCCTCGCACATAAGAAGAACGTCTACGAGGAGGCATTGCATCGTAGCGAGGAGGAGCGACACGAGTATGACTTCCATATCGACGCTATCCACCGCACTATCCAGATCCTCGAGCCATTAAATAGCAAGATCGCACAACTCTCACCCGAGGATCGTGCTGCATTCAAGCTCAAGCCGAATCTCGGCGGAGCGGGCAAAGCCATCCACCAGCGTGTGATCAAGAAGATCTACGGGCGCGAGGCAGGCATGGAGGTGTACCAGGCGATCCAGGACACGCCGGCGGCGGCGATCCCGGTCGTGCTGCAGCGGTTGAAGCTGAAGCACGAGGAGTGGAAGCGCGCGCAGCGCGAGTGGAACAAGGTGTGGCGCGAGGTCGACGCGCGCAACTTCCACAAATCGCTCGACCACCAGGGCATCACGTTCAAGGCCGCGGACAAGAAGGCGATCACAGCCAAAACGTTCGTGAGCCAGATCGAGGCCGCGCGTGACGAGCAGCGCGCGAAGAGGGCAGCGCTCGTCGACCCACTCTTCGCGCGCACACGGCCGCGGCATCAGCTTGAATTTTCGATGGACAACGTTGCAGTGCTTCAGGATGCCATCAAGCTGACGCTGTCGTTCTTGGACCGTACGCAGGGTCAGATCAACCTGGCGGACAGGAGGAAGATCGAGACGTTCCTGCGTTCGTTCATCCCGCTGTTTTTCGTGATGGATGCTCGGGCGTTCAACAGTGCATTTGTGCCACACCATGAGATTCTCGACAGCGACATGGATGTCGACGGTGTTGGGGACGACTCGGAAATCGCGAGTGTGTCCACTAGCGCGCGGGGGAAGGGCAAGAAGGGTGCCGGTGGCTCGTCCGGAGACTTGCGCAAGAAGCTCCTGAAGAGTGAGCAAGCCAAGTCAAGCCGGAGAACTCGTGCTCAAGAGTTCCCTTCACCTTCGGTGTCGCGTATGGCGTCTCCCGCCGTGTCGGATACTATGCGTGTTGATGGCGAGGAGAGCCGTTCTGAGCATGCCGCGACGAACGGTGAACCGGCGGCAGGGCCATCTTCATCCTCGACCACAGACAACATATGGCAGACAACGCGCAAGCGGTATAGTTTCTTCACCAATACCACATTCTACGTCCTGTTTCGATTGTTGGAGGTAGGTTATTCCAGTTGCATCGGTGAGGCCAGATACTCATTTCGTTCATTAGCTGCTGTACACTCGTCTGCATTTGTTCAAGGGAATAGCAGCCAAGCTTGCGAGCGATCCCTCTGCATTCAAGACCCCTCGCGCGGCTGTAGATGTAGGCCTAGCTGCGAGGCTGGGTGGAACGGCTCATGCGGTGCATTTCTACGACCTGATGCTTGAGTCGTGCGAGAAGCTTTTCGATAACGAGCTGGAGCAGCACATATTCGAGGAGCAGATGCGGTATATGTTCGGCACAAAGGTTCGCGTTCCTGCTTCCACTACCGTCTGACTACACTAACGGTGGATGAAGGATGCTTACAAGATCTTCACTGTCGACAAGCTCGTCGGGGCGATCGTCAAGCAGGTAGGTTAACAGTCAAACATGCCATAGCACGTTGCCCATGTGCCTGCAGATCCAGCAAGTGCTCTCAGACCAGAAGAGCCAGGAGCTGTATGACCTCCTGAAGCGCGAACGCGACCTTCCTTCTCCCACGACCCAAGACCAGATCAACAATCGGCGCAATACCGAGAAGGTCATCGGTCCAGACGAGAACCTCTTCCGCATGGACTGGGTGAGTGACCCTCTACATGCTCTTTGCGGCCCTGTCCTAACGATAATGCGAAGCTTCCGGAGTCGAAGACAGTCACTATACAGCTTCTTGGAAAGGATGACTCGAGCTACGACGACTCGGAAGTTCTGACTGGGCGTTGGCAAGCATACATTGATTCGTTCGTCTCTGTACGTTACCGATATCTCGCACGTCTGTATCCAATGACACTCAGCGCATGTGCCTTAGTCCGAAACTACCGAAGGCGTCCCTGCTCGCACCAAACTGCGCCAATCTTTCCTTCGCCGGTCAGTCTCCATCTTCTATGCCGTACTCCTGCTAACTTCCCCTCATACTCCGATTCGATCATCATAGAAATCGACGCGCCTCATCCTCATCCTCGCCGCCGCCAATCCTCGCGCAAGGCGGCCTCGAGATCAAGGTCTGCGTGCGCACGTACCGTCTCTTCTACGTCTCCGGCTCAGAGGACATCCTCTGGCGCGTGCCTCGCACGAATGCGCTGGAGCTCGATGCGTTGCACAAGCGCATCGAGCGCGCAGGCAAGCGGCGAAAGGCATGGGTCGAGAAGATGCAGAAGGCGCGCGACGGCACAGACGCGGCTACAAGTACTGCTGCCGCTGTGAGCCCGGAGAAAGAGGTCGCTCCTCCGTCAACAAGCGCAAGTGCTACTACACCAACGGCCGCGAGTGCGAACGCGAAGCCTGACACGACCACTGTGAACGGTACAAGTGGCGCTGCGCCGTCGAAGTCGCCAGCCGAGCCTACATCTGCGTAGTATATGGTTCCCCTCTCTAGCATAGATACCCTCTATTCGAACTTCTGATTGCGGCTGCAGTCGCGATGTAAAACTCTGTATATACGCATGTGTGCTCGGTACGCTAAGTCTTGTTGTAATAAATAGCCCGGACGCCTTGTTACTTTACCCGACCATATATGTATCCGTATCCGTATCCGCACCCGCGCGCACCCACAACCGACAAGATGCACAACGCGCGTGATGCGTGCAATTCACTCACTGGGCAAGCCTCCAAGTGATTGCATGAACCCGAAACCGGGCTGTGACATGTTGATATCTCGTATCCGAACTGACCCATCGCCTTGTCGTACAAGCGTCCGCGCGCACCAAGACTTCCTTCCGTCGTCCGACCAGCACACGACCGACCATCCGTTCCCCGATCTCCGCCCTTTGCCCCCGCAACTACGCTCACGGGCGCTTCCTCCACCCGCCACCCAGCACGCCCGCGCCGCCGACGCCGAACCCGGCAAAGGCGCCACCGGGGGCTGGCACTGCAGCTGGGGGAGCGCCGGGGCCCTCGCCAGTCGCAGACACAGGGCTTGTGACGCTGAAGCCGGGCTTCGCGTGGAACGAAGAGCGATAGGACGTCTGCGGGAGCGCCTGGATAGAGAGGAACTTGTTTGGTGTCGGCCGGTCGTCGTTATTATACTGCGAACATAAGGAATGTGTAAGCATCGAGCGATTGGAAGCACAGACAAGGAGAAAGGGATACAAAAGGGCCACGAAGACTCACCTGGAACTCGAGACCGATGCCATCTGCTTCGGACACGTCAAGCAGTTTGACCATCTTGCGGCCAATGGAGTTGATCTTCTCGACGTCATCCTTGGAGCGCGTCCAGAGCTGGATGCGGTCGACCTTGCTGCGCAGGCTGACGACCGCGCCGCAGATCTCGTCGCCGTCGTCGAGGTCCTCGCCGACGAGCGCCATCGCGAGCCAGCTCCAGCAGCGGTCCAGCAGCGTAGGATTGCTCTTCATCGTCAGCACCCACTTGCCACCCTGCGCGTTCGCGGGGTCCTCCCACATCGGCTTGATGCCTGACTTGAACAGGTGGTAGTTGCTGTTCCGCTCGAGCTTCGACGGCGGCTTCAGCCAGTTGAAGTACCGACAGAACGACTCGACCGTGTCGAACTCGCCGATCACTGTTAGACCCGCCTCGTACTCCTGCGACTCGGGCGGCGCGAAGTGCGCCGAGCCCGGCTGGTCGGTCGACCCCGCGGTGGCGGGCGTAAAGGGCACCTTATTCTTACTATCGTGGTAAAGAGTCCTGGGCGCGCGTAAGTTATCAGATCAGTGGGCAGCGATGGCCCAAGTAAGGTGGGACACACCAGGTGTGCTCGAGTGGGTGCTCGGGCGCCTTGATGCGCAGCCCGGGAGTCTTGGGGTCCTCAATGGTCTCTGCCTCGGGCGGCTTCGCGCTACCGTCAATGCTGAGAGTGCGCGCCTTGGCGAGACGGGCCGTGATGGCGTCGAGGGAGGGTATGTTCTTGTATCCGATCGGCATCTTGTCCTTGCGGCGCTCGGTCTCGCGGTTGAGCTGGTCGAGTCGCTCGGTGGTGAGCTCCTCGCCGCTGTCGCCAACCGGCGTGGTGCTCTGCGAGTGTGGCGGAGACGTGGAGAGGCTTGCGGGCGAAACGGAGCGGGTGTCGGGAACATTGACAGCGACGGAGTCGCCGGTGGACGCCGCGGACACGCTCGAGACGACGGAGTGTGTTGAGAGCGAACTCTGGGAGCTGGTGCGGAGGAGCGCGGCGGCAAGCCGGGGGCGGTTGGCGGCGGAGGCGGGGACGGAGGCGTTGAGGTTGATGCGCGCAGCCAGCTGGTTCAGCGATGGCATGCGTGTGCCGCCTGATGCGGGGCGCTCGGGCTTGGAAGCATCGGTAGTGGGGACGACGGAGGCGGCGGTGGTGGTCGCGGTTGCAGCAGCAGCGGGCGCGGGCGCGGGAGGAGTCGCCATCGTCGTCGAGAGCAACGTCCGTCTCGTCAACTGACCTCACTGCCAGTGGGTCCTCATATGTGGATGAGATCTTTCATTGACTCCATATAGTACTATATTTCTATTTCTCGTTAGGGCACATGGTGTAGTTGGTTATCACATCCGCTTAGCATTTCTTAGCTTGCGGGGGGTGTCCGGTTCAATTCCGGGTGTGTCCATCATGGGACAATTGTTGCGTTTTCTTTTTCTAATTTGATACTAGGTGCTGCTACGGGGACCGATGTCCTGCAACAATTCTGAATCAATGTTTGTTGCCGGCGAACATTGAGGCTCGTCTCTTTCGCATGACACATAATGATTTGGGCCTTGATATACAAGCACTTCTGCCCAGCATACGGCGTTTCGCTTTATGGCATCCTCACAGGCGCCTCGAGTTATTCTGCGGCGCTGGCTGGCACGAAGCTGGAGCAAGCGATACCAAGTTGTGTCTCTATAGTGTTCACATGGAAGTACGCCAGTGCGTAATAGTTCTTCAACTGCCCAGCATATAGCGTTTCGGTTTATGGCATCCTCACAGGCGTCTCGAATTATTCTAGGGCGCTGGCACGAAACTGGAAGAAGTGATACCAAGTTGTGTCCCTATATGTTCACATGGAAGTATGCCAGTGCGTAATAGCTATTTCACCGACCTATTCGGCACCGTTACTTCCACCCGCCGACTCGGTTCAGACGAACTAATCCTGGGTTCGGCGACATGTGTAACTCAACATGAGCACTGCACATTCTGCCTCGACTGTTACCCCCCGGATCTCGTTGTTGCCAGTGTGAGTAATTGCACTAGGCTTTGTCGTTGATTCTAGTGAATGAACCGGCGCGCTGAACATGCCTGAATGCTCACCTCACCCTAGGACATTCACGCTCTACTGATATTGAGCTTCAATACGATGGACTCGGAGCAAATCGACGAGGTCGCCACATCCCCATCGCCTCACGACACATCGTCGCTTCCTCAGGAACTCTGGGACCAATTCATAGACGAGGCGGCTCGAAACGACGGCAAACTCTGCAATCGAGCTGAGCTGCTCTCATACGCGCTCGTATGCCGCGCATGGCTTCCAAGGGCTCGTTTTCATCTCTTTAGAGTTGTCCCTCTCAATAATGCCGAGAATGTACACCTCTTGGCGGACACCATCCGAGCATCACCGGCACTGGGTCTCTTGGTCCAACACCTCATGCTCGTCGGTCCCAGAAAGATTGGACCTTGGAGGCCGGTCCGCGACACGGACTCTCTGAGAAGACTCATGCAACTTGTCCGAGAATTACTCGCGCCCTGTCTCTCTCGGGTGTCCACCCTTACTCTTACAAGCGAGTTCGATCGTAGTCTTCTGCTTCCCGTGCAAAATAGTAACGCACACGACGCTGAAGTCGATTCCCCATGGCGTCCCTCTCATACACTCGGAAAGTTGGAATGGCTTATATCCCCATTCGCCTTAAGTGCTGTGCGAAACATCGAGCTGGACGGTGTACTTGTTCACGATTGTTTCGAAATGTGTAAAACGCTGGCTGAACTTCCTAACCTCTCCTCGCTTCGGTGTACAAGAGTCAAGTGTGAAAGTGAAGGAACAGACACAAGCATAAACACATCGCTCACCTTACCGAACTTGAGAGATCTCACGGTAGGTTTGCGCTATTCCTTGGACACACCCGTACTGATAAAGGGCTAGATTTCCGCAGGAGGTTCGGGCTGTGCCAGTCAAGGACGTTTGCTAGCCGTAGCTGGGCCATTACTTCGGACGCTGATATTGAGGATCAACTTATGGCCCGTGACAGAAGATATCATGATGGGTAAGTTACTGAGTCCAGTATTGCTCAATAATGTCTCGGTGGACATACTTCTTACGCACGCCGTGTAGCCGACGAGTACAATTTGTCACGCTTCCCGTATTTGCACCATTTGCGGCTTTCAATTCATGATGCTATCCGGTACTATCCATCGCACTACTGGATTTCGCACATGTTGTCGAACGTGAAGTCGACAAGTCTATCCCATGTCGCTCTCGAGTATGGGAAATCCGGAACCCCTACCAGATCACTGGTACTCGACAGGCTTCGTTGTCAAGACATTGATAACATTCTGGCCCAATCCCGGTTTCCGCGACTACGTAGGTTCGCCTTCTATTTCCGCGACACGCCTGAGCGCCAGGACTGGTGGAGGTCGGAGATAGCTGCTCGATGCCCTTGGATGGCTGAGAACGGCATCTGCAAGGCGCATCTCTACTCCAATTCTGGTGCGTACGTAACACGGTTAACCTGCTGCCACCATGCTTATTTCTGCATAGACATCCAAGACGCCGAACTATGGGCCTCGGACCCGTGATTTGCAAGGAGCAGCCGCTGCGAAGTGCTTTCCCATAAATCGAATCGTGTTTCCTCCAGGTTCACTACATAGCTCGGCCACGGCCGGGATTGGTTTTTGTCGCGGAGCGCGCCTTGAATTTTCTCTCATAGATACGTCGAGATATGAAGTTATGTATGGGGCAAGCGCTCTCCTACTGGTCGTAGTAATGCGCAAAGCTAGCTAAAATCATCGGGCATATCCGATCGTTTCCCCGCTGCTCCAATTCACAATTCCGCATCATACAGAAGCTGCCGTATACTTGACGATCAATCAAAAAGGTGTCTGGCCAACCCCAACCCTAGCTGAAAGTGAGCTCCAAGCGTAATGCTGTGCGCGTTTAGCACGAATCTGACGATCAGAGATGTCGCCGTGTGGGTGTTTGCGGTCGTGCTGGGCCGTCGGATTGCAACGCCCCAACGCTGTTGGTACAGCGGCTATCTCACTGCCTCGCAGCCGGGGGTCAAAGCACAGGTCGTTGCCGGAGCCATTTACATAGATCGACCTCCGTTGCACCGCCCGGCCTGATCAGCGTAACTATTGGAGCGCATCCCCGCGATCACTGCGGCCTCGCGGCATGGCACCGCATTCGATTTTATTATAACATGGACGCTGATAGCGAGTTCTGATCGCAACAGACACTCCAGCATCGACCACCATGAGCAAACGCGATTATCCCCCCGAGAAGAATGGCCACGCACAGCCGCGAGGCCAGCCACCCGCAGACTACTTCCCCCAGCCGCAGGCTAGCTGGGGGTTCGCACCGCCGGATGGGCCCCCGCCGCCGGCGTACGACGACGCATTGAAGCACCCATCGATGCCCCCACACCCTTCCGGCCAGGGCTTCGCGCCTCAGGGATCACCCTACGCCGTGCCCTCCAAGGACTTCACCGGCTACCAAGCATCCCAGCCCTACCAGATGGGTCCCAGTGCTGCGGGGGGCTCGTATGGACAAGGCCCGTCCCAAGCGCAGTACGGTTCACCATACGCACAGCAAGGCTCACCGTACGCGCAGCAAGGGGCTCCCTACGGCGGACAGGAGCCTGCGTACGGTCAGCAAGGGTCTCCATACGCCAAGCAGGACTCCCCGTACGCGCCCCACGGGTCCCTATCCGTCCCCCCTCCACAGCACCCGGCGCAGGCCTGGGCTGCCGCGCCACACTCCTATTCCTCGCCCGGGCCCCAAGGCGCCTCGCGTTCTGGCAGCCCCGCGCTGCAGGGGGGCAACGGCTCGCCCTACGCGTCCTCTGCGGACCTGTCCTCTGACCCGCGCTCCGACCAGCGCGGCGCTGGGCCCTCTTCATCCGCCTCGCCGAACATGCTCGGGAAGCTCAAGGCGCTCGCGCCGGGCGAGGACCCCGCGAAGGTGCTCGATCCGCCGCCCGCGTGCTTCTCGCGCCCGCTCCCCCCGATGATGCCGTATGGGCCGTTCCCAGTCACGTCGGTCCTCTCCCAGAGTAAGAGGCTCGAAGATGGGTTCCCCCTCGCGGCGCCGCCGTCCGCGGGCGGGCCGCACCCGTTCGCGACGCACGATATCACGCAGGAGGATTGGATCCTGTTCTTGCAACATGTGAAGGCTGTGGCGGGCCTGACGGGCATGAACAAGGTCGTCGCGAATGTCGCGCCTCTGGCGATGGGTGTTGGCTTCCTGCCGGGTGAGCTCAGTCGATGTCTCGGGAATCAACGGTTGGCTTACTTTTGTGATTTTGCAGGCTTGCTCATCTCCAGGGGTCTTGAGAACGGCATGAAAAACAAAAAGCGCGGTCCTGTTTCCGAGATCATCGCGCAGTGGAATCACGTACGTATTACAACCTGTTTCGCATGCGCTGTTACTGATTGTATTCCCATAGTACTTTTTCCACCCGCGCCAAATTGACATCGCTCTTGCTCAGGGACGCATCTGCTATACCAATGCTGATGGCGTCGCGCCCGATGTGCGCGGCTATAGCGGCTCCTCAAATGTCGGAAGATATGATGATTACGACGATTCAAGCAGCGATGATGATCGTCGTGGAGGGAGACGTGGGCGCAGCGGACGGGTTGGGCTGATCGGGCTTGTCAAGTCGGAGATCCAGAACGAGTTCCGCAACGAGATGCAGAAAGAACGGGAGAAGAGCATGCGCGATATACGCCGCCAGAGGAAGGACACCCGGCGTATGGAGCGACGCGAGAGGAAGGATTTCAAGCACGATGAGAAAGATGCGAAGAACGAGCATTGGCGGTTGGTTATTTCGCACCATCCCTACGTGTTAGGGTAATGTCGGTGCTTCGCCATGTTTCGCCTTATGCTCTTGTGCTATCACAAACACTTCGTTAAGACCTATGGTGGATACCATAACTTATTTCGCCGAACAGATTACGATTGTTCATACGCTGGGGACTCCATATCATTTATGTATCTAATACAACACTCTAGAAATTATACGCAATGCTGAAGGCGCAAAGTCAGCTTGGATTCATGACAGCACATGATACATGAAGGAGATCAGAGAAGCCAGGGTTTTCATATTTCCTCCAGCACAAGAACCATAGTCAATCCGTCCCACGTACACCAAGACGATGTACACAGGCACGCCTCGCACCCGCACGCGAACACAAGGGGATTAACTAAGGTGTGTTGGAGGACGTTCAAAGAATGGATGAACTTGTTTTCGTCTTGTCGACAGAAATACAATGTTGTACATACCTGGTACGCTACAAAACCCACTCCGCACTAGCTCAAATCCTGTCACAAAACATTGTAAATAAGATCTGTCGAAGAGGAGTAAGCATGCTGCGAAGAATTACGCGCAGAAAGAGGAAATCAGAATTGAGAGTTTTGGT